AAGGTGTATGTTTCTAATAAAGTGGCCAGTGAGTGGAAGCACAAGGTAGGTGTTTATAATAAAGTGGCCAGTTATTGGAAGCACAAGGTTGGTGTTTCTAATAAAATGGCCAGTCATTGGAAGCACAAGGTAGGTGTTTCTAATAAAGTGGCCAGTTATTAGAAGCACAAGGTAGGTATTTCTAATAAAGTGGCCAGTTATTAGAAGTGCAAGATAGGTGTTTCTAGTAAAATGGCCAGTGAGTAGAAGCACAAGGTAGGTGTTTCTAATAAAGTGACCAGTTAGTTGGAATGGCAAGGTAGGTGTTTCTAATAAAATGGCCACCTTGTTCCAGTACCATGTAGGTGTATAAAAAGTGTAGTGAAGTGGACGTGTAGTGAATTTCCTTATACCAGAGACTTTTAGCACCTGGTCTGTCACCATTCCATCTTTGAATTTGTGCAAGACGGAGGAGAGATTATTCACAACTGATATTTTAGCAGCTGTCTGAACAGCTGGGGCCTCTCATCTCTTTTGATTTACTATGCTTTACATCTTGGATGACTTGGGCTGCTTTCAGAATCAAAGTTTAGACTCTGCTTTTTAATTTCTCCTGGAAAAAGAGAAGCATCATGATTATTTTTGGCTGTGTTTCAACTGCTTTATTTGTTTATTTGTTTCTTTTCCTGCCTCCTCCGTCTACCTAGAGATGTCTCTTTTAATTTCAGACAGTTTATTTTGGGTCATTGTGTTGGAGAAGCGTGAGAAGAAGCTGTAGTCTGTAGAGACGGTCGGATGTCTATTGAGTGATGTGTAAAGTAATCTCAGTCTGCTCCGTTTTTCCCTCAAGGTTTTTGTCTTTCTCGCTTTTCCCAGCGTGTGTGATGTGTTAGTAGCTCTTTTCTTCCCCAGTGACAAGATAAATTCAACATTAGCCTTGTAGCCTCCTCACTAGCGGTTGAGCACAGCAGTACTGGATGTAGCAGTAAGTTGTCACAGCTCTTAAACAAGGACTTTGACAGCTTTGATACAAAATCTTAAACCGTTGTTTTGACAAAGCCAAGTTTCCCTTAAAATGGCCCTCAACTTTTCTGCAAAAACAGATCTTCAGCCTCTCCTGCAGGGTAAGCTACTTTCTCTGGGATGAGTTTTGCACGAGCTGGGGTAGGCATGCATAACCATAAAGGGGAACTCCACCAGTTTTTCAGAATTTCCGGATAATTAAATCATTAAGATGTAAACAGACTCCAGTCAAGAGAAAGTTATCCAAGTCAGAAGTGTTCACAGTGGTGGTGATAGGAACCAGACGTCCGCCTCTAAAAGCTCCCTCACAGAAAGTTCTTAAATGAAATGGTTATGGATGCATCTCATGTCTTAGACGTTGGCAAAGGAAGAAGATCAGGAGCTTTGAAAAAGTAACTAACTTAGCCTCGCTCTCCAACCCTGGTCCTGGAGATCTACTTTCCTGCAGAGTCTAGTTCCAACCACATTTTGCCACACCTGCTCCAGCTAATCAACGTCTTCCAACTCCTTGATTGGCTGGATCAGATGTATTAGATAGGTAGGTAGGTAGGTAGTGAAAGTACAAGGTAGGTATTTCTAATAAAGTGGCCACTGAGTGAAAGTACAAGGTGGGTGTTTCTAATAAAGTGGCCAGTTACTGGAAGCGCAAGGTTGGTGTTTCTAATAAAGAGGCCAGTCTGTGAAAGTACAAGTTGGGTGTTTCTAATAAAATGGCCAGTTTGTGAATGTACAAGGCAGGTGTTTCTAATAAAGTGGCCAGTTAATGGAAGCACAAGGTAGGTGTTTCTAATAAAGTGGCCAGTTTGTTGGAAGTGTAAGGTGGGTGTTTCTAATAAAGTGATAGATAGATAGATAGATAGATAGATAGATAGATAGATAGATAGATTCAACTTTGTTATTGCTCAGTACAAACACAGGCAACGAAATGCAGTTAGCATATGTATAACTATATGAACAATATATACACAATTATAAATATACCTGTAAGTATACATGTCTATGAATATATCTATGAATGATATGCATGTGTATATATGCACAATATTATAAACATAATATATAAGGTATGTTATCTACATAATATGGAAATGTTTGGGATAATAAATAATAAATATTATGTACAATACAACATACAATATTACAAGATTAGTGGAGTGGTGTGGAGTTCAGCAGGGTGATGGTGAAGGCAAAGAAGCTGGACCTGAGCCGACTGGTTCTGGTCCGAATGCTTCTGTATCCCCTCCCGGATGGGAGGGGGTTAAACAGTGTGTGGCTGGGGTGGGAGGAGTCCTTGATGATGCACACAGTGCTGGTGGTGGATGTCTCTGATGGCAGGGGTGTTAGAAATGGGCAGAGCTAAGGAGGAGCAGGAAAGCAAAACAAAGGCACATTAGAGTTAAGTAAGGGGCGGGGCAGCTTATTGGATACAGGTTGGAACTAAACTCTGACTCAGAAGCTGTGAATACGTAGCTAAGCCTCGTGGAGACCACTGCATCAGAGTGACTCTTACCTCAGGAACTGAACGAAATTGCAAAGAAAACAGTGATTCTGTGTTTGTTCACCACAAAGTGAACACCAGAGACAGTTCTGCATTCTTTCGGTTGCTGTACCATCCTGTGTTGCCCTGTTCTCATCTCTGCCGTGTGCCTTTGTTTTGCTTTCCTGCTCCTGCTTAGCTCCGCCCATTTCTAACACCCCTCAGCTGTGTCTTGTCTGTAACCCCGCCCAGTAATTACTCCCAGGTGTTTCTTGTTGGTGTTTCCCAGGATGTATAGCCCTTGTTTTTGTCTTGTCTCTTGCTCAGCATCGTTTGTTCATTGCTGCTCTGTAGTTTCTCCTTGTGTTTGTTAGCTGATTATATTGTTCTTCCTCTGTTTTATTGCTTTCCAGATTCCTTAGTTTAGTTCAGTTTTATTCTTTGTTGTTTTCTTAGTTTCTCTTTTCATGTTTCTCCTGTTATTTTTTTGGATTCCAATAAAACCAACTTGCACATGCGTCCTACTTCGTCTCCTGCTCGTCCCGCGTTACAGTTAGAGGAAAGAAGCCAGTGTGAGGTAAAGTATCTAGATAGCCTCGTAGCCTCCTTGCTAACTTTAGCTTTTAGCCTGTTGTCGTCCTCATCTGACTTGCTGTTGCTATCATTTGAGTATCCGTTCTCTTCACTGTAATGATGATTTGAAGACACTTATCACAGTTATAAGGCTACAGTAAGACCTTTATCTTCCTAGCAGTAACGTTAGCTATCTGCCTTCCTTCTGCATTCACCAGCCACCAGCGCCCCTAAAGGGAAACAACACCGTTTATCAAAATTCTGCATAATTAATTGGTTAAGATGTTAGTTATTGAGAGTAGTTTGGTAATAAATATTTAACTTTTTTAATGAAGTTCTTAATTTTATATGCTGCTTTTTATTTTGTTAGCTAGTTAAAAATCGACAATAAAAGTTCTGGACCAATAGGATGGTTTGACCTGATTTTCTTTAACATGCACTGCAGTAGTTTGTACATTGACAGGTTTGTTTTAGTTGGGGGGGGGGCGCCAGGTTCTCAAAAAACTGGCAAGGGGGTCTCAGGAGGAAGAAGTTTGAATACCTCTGGTCTACAGGCTTCTGCAGCACTGACACAGGATGCGAGTCCCATGTTCCCAATTTTTCATTTTGGATTGAGTTTTCCTTTAATGCTCTGCTTTAAAGGCAGAGTATTAGAAGTTACTAGTAACAAATAGTTTGATCCTTGGTTGTTTATTTAACATTATAAGATGGATAGTTCTGGTCCTGAAATCTAACTGGCTGAGCTTTGTTTGAAGCTGTTGTAAAACTTTATATACGCACAGCAAGCGCCGCAAAAAAATACTGCACCATGTCATTAAATACAGTTGTGCTGTTAATGGGATTCTAGCCATTACAGCCAAACAGTGTGCTCTCTGTCCAGTTTGGCTGAATCCCAAATGTCTATTTTTTCAACTGCAATATGGACTATTGGAGGATCCAGTATTTAAATTCCTATATAGTGCACTATGTAGGGAGCAGGGAGCCGTTTGAGATTCAGCCCCAGTGTGGGAAGAGGGGCACCGTTAGCTTGATGCTAAGTAAGACTAGAAAATGACATAGAGGCGCTAATGGAAATTAGCATTGTCATCGCAGTGGTAATTTGGTCACTAGAAACTACTTAGAAAGCTGAAATTGTTGCATTAAACAGTGATTTACTCTGATATTCATTAAAATACAACAAAAAGTTAAAAAGATCATGAAATGACCGCAGTTTACAGTGATGGTTGACCAAACATTCTCCAAATTCAGCAGTCCATGGTTGCTTGGCAACAACACTATACTCCAAAACAACTTCATTTCTTGGTGGAATATTTGTTTGTCAATAATCATTAATAATAAATAATTTACTGAAAATTTGTGTTTTACTATATTTTATGATAAAAGTGAACTGCATTACTTGAGCAATAAGCCACTCAAGGCTGTGCATTACTGTGATTTTATCATAGGAAATGGTGTTTTAATCCGCTCAGTGTTGTGCCTACACTCTTGAAGGTTCTTCAAGGGTTCTTTAGGAAAGAAAATGGTTCTATTTAGAACCATGAACAGTCACAGAACCCTTTGCATGATTAAAGCTTTATTTGCATCATGAAAGTGTTCTTCAAATTAATGGGGAATGTGTTGTAGATGGTTCAATATAGAACCTTTTTAAAAATGGCTCTATATAGCACCCAAAAAGTGTTCCTGTATTGTTATGATATTATGCTTGTAATAATATAAGAACTGTTTTTGGTGCTATATAGAACCGTTTTCAAAAAGGTTCTATATAAAACTATCTACAGCACATTCTCCATCAGTCTGAGGAACGCTTCCATGGTGAAAAGGGTTCTTTGAGTGTTTATGGTTCTCTTGCTTGTTTTCACAAGGCACCGGTATAACTAGGTGTCTGATAGTAATCCAGTGGTCTCGCTCATTCCTGCCGAACACATGACCTCTTTTAATCACCTCCTAGGATTTGGACTCCGACTCGGAACCTGAAGAAAGCTCTGATGAGGAAAGCCTGCTGAACGGAGACTCTGAGGACAAGATCAAAGGCCGCAGGAGATCCAGAGTGAACTCCACAGACTCCCTGTCTGTTCCTGACCCTGAAACCCTCACTTCCGATGGGAAGAAGCTGGATCAGGATGGAAAGAAGGACCTGAAGGCCCAAGATTTCCGCAGCCTCCGCTGCCCCAAAAGCCTAGAGGAAGGTCATAGCAGCATGGTGGACAAACTTCTGGAGAAGTATGGTGCCTTTATTCCCCACCATGACCCTCGCTTATACATTGATGCGGCTGCCCACACCAAATCCATCGCTAACTACTCCATCTTGGCCTTTCCTGACTTCTGGGGACACCTGCCTCCTCGAGGCCCCGAGCCAATGGCTATCCGGAAACCTCACGTTCAGAGGTAAGCAGTTAGGAGTGTCTCTGGGCATGTTTGTCTTCATATACACTACTGGACACATTTATTTTACATGGGCTGAATTATGTGAGCTACATGAACGAATCTCACGAAGGATTAGTCGGAATTCAAACAGGTGAAACTAATGATTGACTATTTATTGATTATTTATCAATAAATGATTATTTATTACTTTTTGCTACTTTATTTGCCACTAAACTTGTTGGTGACCTGGTCCACTCTTACTGATCTTCATGTTTTGTTGTAGAAGTTTAAGATTGCGTTTTCTTTTGTAGTTTGGTTCCCATACAGAAAATGAAACGTGTTTTAATTCTGGTTTGCTTAGTGTTCACACTGACAGATTTGACATTGAACCAAAGAGTGGAAACAAAAGTCAGATGGACAAAAGCCACATCTGATTGGGCAGATTTTACAAAGTACGTTTAGCAGCAGTGACTTGTTTGTCTTGACTTGTTTGTTATCTTGTCGTACACACACCGATCAGGCATAACATTCTGACCACCTCCTTGTTTCTACGCTCATTGTCCATTTTATCAGCTCCACTTACTATATAGGTGCACTTTGTAGTTCTACAGCTACAGACTGTAGTCCATCTGTTTCTCTGATACTTTGTTAGCCCCCTTCTACCCTGTTCTTCAGTGGTCAGGACCCCCATGGACCCTCACAGAGCAGGTACTATTTGGGTGGTGGATCATTCTCAGCACTGCAGTAACACTGACGTGGTGGTGGTGTGTTAGTGTGTGTTGTGCTGGTCTGAGTGGATCAGACACAGCAGTGCTGCTGGAGTTTTTAAACACTGTGTCCACTCACTGTCCACTCTATTACACACTCCTACCTTCTCAGTCCACCTTGTAGATGTAAAGTCAGAGACAATAGCTCATCTCTTGTTGTACAGTATGACCTAATCATCCTCTAGTCCTTCATCAGTGGTCACAAGATGCTGTTAGCTGGATGTTTTTGGTTGGTGGACTATTCTCAGTCCAGCAGTGACACTGAGGTGTTTAAAAACTCCAGCAGCACTGCTGTGTCTGATCCACTCATACTAGCACAACACACACTAACACACCACCACCACACTGTCTTCGAAAAGGACCCTCAGCAGAGTTTTATACATTCGATTCAGACACGTCTGGGTGAATTCCTGAGAATATGGAACGAGTGGACAGCGGTTATTACGTTTCAGACACAGCCCATGGTTCACCTCCCCCTCCCAAATGGAAAATGGACACTTTTAAGATCACCTTTGACCGACAGCCGATTTGGTCAGACACTGAAGATGAGACGACACTAAATTCCCAAACTGTCATCACCACTGAGCAGCTTTTCAGTCGGCAGCTGTGACAGAAGAACAGCTGAACAACCTGGAATCAGCCAGAAATGAACCCAATACCATTCGCCAAACGTGTAGTCTGATCTTCAGAGTCTGACCAAATCGGACTGAGCCATAAAACTGACGCAACATCAAGTTCAGCTCAGTTTTGTCAGTTTTTGCCAGATATTAATGTTGTTTTGTTCCAGCCAGTCTGTAAAGCATCTTACAGCCCATTTAGTTTGGCGAATGGTGTTGGGTTCATTTCTGGCTGATTCCAGGTTGTTCAGCTGTTCTTCTGTCACAGCTGCCGACTGAAAAGCTGCTCAGTGGTGATGACAGTTTGGGAATTTAGTGTAAGGAGCTGGAGAACGAACTGCCGGCTGTGCAGCGAGTGGGCGGAGCTCGTTACTCTGACGTAGCAACAAGCTGCTCGTTAAGGAACTATAATTTGGTGAAGAAACTGCGAACATTAAAACATATTAAACGCTGCGTTCACGGCCCAGTTTATTAATTTATTACTTTATTTATTTATTTAACTGTTGTATAAAAGCAATAGAACACTCGAGGAGTGTGTTATCGCCAATAACATCACGGCTGTGATGATCTACGGCCACCAAATCACAGCCGTGATGTTATTTTGCGATAACACACTCCCTCTGTGTTCTACTGCTTAAATATGTCACGATACAGAAAGAATTAATGCTTTTTACTTTAATCTGGCTGCTCAGACCCAGATTTTGGCCTTTGAATAGTGCGCAGATCATTTCCGAATTACAGATGTGCGTTTTAGACAGTTTGATCTCCAGTGTATTGTGTAGATCTGGATATAAGATGGCTTCTCTTTATATGTAATAATTACCATAATCGACGTTCAGCAAATAGGCTTGATATTAGGATGAAAATGTTTGTGCATTGTAGCTTGAGGATGAATAAACTCGGATCATGAGAATTAGCATATTAGCATAAAGGATATAAGCTGTTTATGAACACAGAATGCAGTTTGTCAACAACATCAGCGCCACAAAGCCTCTTTCAGAAAGCTTTTCATTTGCCACCTCAGATGATCTTTGGGCACTGGTTTTCTCCTGAGCTCTCATCAGAATCAGCGCCACGCGAAGTCTATCCTTTGATAAGGTTCTCCGTCAAACGTATCTAATTACTTTAGACCCCTTTGGTCAAAAGCTTGTTTTCACCGAAGACTTTTTTTAAAAACGTTTTTTCTTTTTTTCCTCCACTCCCATGTGCAAAGGGGAGATTGTGGGGAAACTGACATTTATTTCAGTCATTTCACAGTTTATTGTATTTGCTCAAGGGTGAGATAAGACCGTGTGGGTTCTATTAGCGTCATTTTACTCTGAGAAAGTCATTTTTGGAGTCATAAGAAGAAAGTGTCAGGCAGCCAGTGACATTCTGATGGAAGTGACATTTCTAATTCCACGAGGCACGCTCTCACGACTGTGGAGACCCAAGATAAGTGTGAAACATTACGGCTGTGTTTTAGTTATTTATTTATTTTGAGTTTTTCAAAAGCCTTTCATTTTAAGTGCACATAAACAGAGGCAGGATGTTCTGGCTGAAAGTTCATAGACAGTCAATCAGAGCACCTAAAAATAATGGTTTCTGATAAAGGAGAGATTACGCTCCGGCTCAAGGCTGTATCTAGACTGCTCTGGCCTTTGACCCTAATGGTGGAATGGAGTTTATGACAAGTACCAACTGTGGTCGGTTGGTGCCTTTTTCATCCGGTTCTTCAGCTTTTAGGCTGTTTTCACACCCAGTTTGTTTGCTGAAGTCCAAGGCAGTCTGGGTTTTCGTAGCACTGTATCATTCTTATTTGATTTGGTTGGCTTCATCCTGCAATGGCACCAAATTAGACACAAAACCAAATTTTCCAAGGATTCAAATGCTCTGTTACTCTCACACTTGAGCCAAAAACACTCCACGTTTGTGTTCTATAGTCAAAGCAATAATGATAAACCTTATCTGCTTCTTCATTATTAGTCATTTTGAATCTAACCAATCAGGTTGCTGATGCAATACATTCCGCAATCCATGTGCCAAAATCAAACGCATTGCTTCACTATTACTTTTTTGCTTGTTTATTGTTATTAGCAGCAGCTTGTGGGCATCTATCAACAATCAGACGATAAAATGTTCAGATTGTTCAGACGGTACAACACTGACAACTCAGGAAAGCTTGCTCTGATGTTGAATTCCCTCATTTGGTGTGGACCATCACAAAAATATGTTCCTACCAGCAACGAAACAAGACCCACAACTTTTACCAGATCATTTGTTTAGTGTGCATCAGAATATGGGTGGAGTGTTCCAAAGTTTAAAAGGCCTGCACCAAATAAGGTAGGCATGAAAGTGACCTTATCAAATGTGTTTTACACAGGAAAATCTTAATGAATATAAAAGAAGCACTGTGACAAACAACAGGAGAAAATGAGCCGCACTCTAGACCAGGGGTCGCAACACAGAGCCTTTGTCCTTTCAACAAAAATCAAACCACCTTGGGAGCCACAGCATTTTATGTCCGTTTTACCATTTTGCCTGTAAATGTCGCAGTATGTGCTGATGTCCTAGTATAGGATAAAAATATAAACAAAAACTCAGGCTTTCTTTGCTCTACTTTAAGCTTTAGCTCAGCTATAGCTGCTTTTCTCGCATCTCCGGCAGGAAACTTTTCCTCAAAAGTAGAAGTTTCTTGTAAAATGTCTCAACTTTTTACGAGGCTGAAGTCGCGTCTCATTCGCCAGCTTATTGTTCAAATTTTCCCATTCCACCTTAAATGATGCCTGAGGTGCCAGGATGCAACTGCTGCACCATTTAAGGTGGAACGGGAACAAGAAGCCTGCGAATGAGAATCTGACTTCAGCCTCGTGACTTTTTAGTGTTTGACAGTTTCTCTTGCAGATTAAACGTATCAGGAAACCAGCTGGAGTGATTATAAATGCAAATCAGTCCATTCATCTCCAAATTATGGATGTTCATCTTAAATCTCTCTCTTTGCCGTTTCGTTAGCTACTAGTTAGGCAAGACTGTTGTCTGTGTTGCTATGGTGACCAGCAGTCTGTGCTGATCTTCAGGGTTAAAGGGTGAATTAGCAGTTCTACATTAACTCCAGAGTTTAAGACCATTTATTGTTAAACTGTGTTGAACGATCAGCAGAGCTTTATTTTACTGTAAAGGAGGATTATTTTATTTTTACCTACAAATCTAATTCTGCTGTGGAGCCACAACAGGGCAGTAAAAGAGATGCATCTTGCTGACCCCTGCTCTAGATATATACAAGCCTAAATATATTTTTAATCTGGATTTAAAGCATGGAATGAGCTTGCATTCCTAATGTTCTCTAGCAATGGTGCTCAGTCCTGGTCCTGGAGATCTATCACCCTGAAGAGTTCAGATCCAACACACCACACCTAATGTTCAGATGCCCCAAAGCTCTTATTACCTGAAACAGGTGGTTTAGATTAGGGATGGGGCTAAACTTAGCAGGGTGGCAGATCTCCAGGAGCTGGTTTGAGCACCCCTGTTCTTTGGAATACTATTTAAAGCTATTTAGAAGTTGTAGAAAAACTGCACCACGCCTGCTTTAGCTGGGTGAAGTTGTCAGGGTTCAACAGGCTACAACGCCTCAACAAATCAGTGAGAGCTCAGCCATTAATAACTTTAAATGCCATCATCAAGACTTTGTAGTCAGTGTGGAACAGGAAGCTGGTGTAAACTGAATAAAATCATAACATGCTCAAATTTACTTTTCCTGTTGAGCACATGGGCTGATGCATGCTAAACTAGTTGGAGCTCATTTAGAGAGAAAACCAGCCAGCAAGCACATTATAGTCATCTGATCTAGACATTATGAAAGCATGAACTAATTACTCAGCATCTTGTAGGGTCAGCATACACCTTATTTTGGACAGGCTTCTCAAGTAATAAAATTCAGTCTAAGAGATATTACTGAGGGACTCAAATGATAAACCAGCATCCAGTGTTACACCAAGATCTTTACCTGTTGCACTGAAAAACCATTAAAGTCAAGGATAAAATCTGCAAAATCAGAGTTTAGCAGAGTTTAAAGGTCCTGGTTATCCAGAACAATCTTACATTACATGTCTCTGAATCTGGCAGAGCTGGCACGTATAGCTGAGTATCATCAGCATGAAAGTGAAAGGCAATGGTGTGTTTACTGTGTCCTAGGAGCTGTGCAAAAAAAAGAGAATGGTAAGGGCCCTAAAACAGAGCCTTGTGGGACACCATAGTGCACTCCTCTATGTTTGGAAAGCTCCCCATTTAATCTGACAAACTGGTCAAATAAAATCTAAACCAAGCAAGAACTTGTCTGTCAAAACAACTGTGTTTTCATTGAGCAACAACTTTTTCTTTTTTATTGTGCAACAACTTTCTCCAAAATCCTAGATAGAAAACGATGATAATCACTGAGATCAGAGGGATCAAGATGCACACTTAAAGATGGTTCTTCAAGTGTTCTTTAGTAAAGGCAATGGTTTTATTTAGAACCATGCATTTTATTTAGAACTATTTCTTACTCAAATGCTTTGAAATGGTTCTATATAGCACCGAAATAGTTTTTCTACTATTATTCTTTAGAAGGACCCTTTTTGGTGCTATATACACTCTTAAAAAGAAGATTCTTTAAAGGGTTCTTTAATAAAGAAAATGATTCTACAAAGAACCGTGTACATTCAAAGAACCCTTTGCATGATTAAAGGGTTCTTTGTATAATGAAAGGGTTCTTCAGAAAGTGCTGTAGATGGTTCTGTATAGAACTTTTTGAACAGGGTTCTATATAGCACCAAAAGGGTTTTTCTATTGTTATGCTGTCAAACTTGCAACAACAGAAGAATCTATTTGGGTGCTATATAGAAATCTTTTCAAAAAGAGCATTTTCATGATGCAAAAAACCCTTTGATCGTGCAAAGGGTTCTATGAGTGTTCAGGGTTCTTTATAGAACCCTTCACTAAAGAACACTCTAAGAACCATCTTTTTTTAAGAGTATTGAATCATTTTGCGAAAGGCTCTCTACACATTTCCCATCAATCTGAAGAACTATTTTTCCATGGGAAGAATTATTTAAGCATAAAATGGTTCTAAAAAGAACAATTGCCTTTATTGAAGAACCCTTGAAGAACCGTTTTTTAAAGAGTGTGGGGTTTCTAAAGTAATGGTTTGACAACAGCTGTCTTAAAGAACTTGGAGACACGGCCCAGGATAAGTGATGAGTTAATCATGTTTAGTCAAGGCTCATCAATCACTGGTCATAATTCTAGGAGTAACCTAGATATTGTTGATTCAAGAGCAATGTTTGATCTATATTGTAAGCTATAAATAAAACAAATACATAAGCAATAATAATATCAAGTAGAAGAGAAAGCGTTTTATTTATGCTTTTCAGTAACCAAATGAATTCTCACAAATCCTGAGAAAACATCTAAAAAGAGACACAAATAAAAACAAATTAGCAATACAAAAGAGAAAAATCATAAATGATGATGATAAAGAAAAAGAAGAGAAGATTCTGGTGTACGATATCAGGCGGGGAATCTGTTAAGGTTATTTAAGCTGAAAGTCCTGAGAAAGAACCCTTTTTTTTGATTCAGTCAAACAGAATAATAAGTCTGACTGTCCGTTACTTTAAGCCCAGGATGTTAAATTAATCAGCCCCTCTCTCTGTTTGTGTGTTTGATAATTGTAAGCTGTCAAAGACTGTGATCTTCAGCAGAGCACAATGGACACTGAAACACTGTGCTTTTGTTTTTCAGAAAGAAAGTGTTTGAAGACATCCAGCGCCTCCTCTGCCCCGAAGACATCATCAATAAAGTCGTTTTTGATATGGAAGACGGCAGGTAGCCACCACTGATCCCTACAAACAGCCTTATGCATCACTTACATTGCGTTGTTATAGACATAATCTCTACACTCGTAAAAAAGAGGGTTCTTCAAGAGTTACTTGTCAAAGAAAATGGTTCTATATAGAACCACAGACACTGAAAGAACCCTTTGCATGATTAACCCCTTAACTTTCATACTAAGGCCTATTATTCAGTAACTACAGGGACTTTAATGCAAACTAATAGAGCTATTCTTAAGTTATAGAAGTGTGTAGTAACTTTGGTTCTTTGGTTTCTTTGGGTTCTTTGGTTCATGAAATGGTTCTTTAGATTAGTGGAGAATGGGCTGTAAATGGTTCTATATAGAACTTTTTTTTTTCCGGAAAGTGTTCTATATAACACCATAAAGGGTTCTGCTATTGTTATGATGTTAAGCTTGTAACCATAGAAGAACCCTTTTAGGTGCTACATAACACCCTTTTCAAAAAAGAACTATATAGGACCATATACAGCACGCTCACCATCAATAGGAAGAACCTTTTCATGGTGCAAAGAACCCTTTAATCATGCAAAGGATTCTTTGAGTGTTCATGGTTCTATATAGAACCTTTTTCTTTACTAAAGACCCTTTGAAGAACCCTCTTTTTTAAGTGTGTACCTAAGCCAGAGAATCACAACATTGACCTGTCTAACTACCAAAACACCTGAATGTAAATGAACTTCAGTCTCATCAGACACTTTTATCCAGAGAGATGTTCCATAGGAAGGTGGAGGTTAATACAGCGTACAGTATTCATATATTCTTCCCAGACGGGGAACTGAACCAAAACTTCAAGTGTAAAGGGCTGTAGTGTTATCCACTATGCTCTCTCTCTGCTAGTGGTGGGTAATTTATAACTCTCTTTAAAGGGGAATTCCACCTATTTCAAAATTTCTGCACAGTTAAGTGGTTAAGATGTAAACAGAGTGGTTCAGAGTGGTTGGTGTGAAAAGCTGCGTTCTAGAGAAACTTGCTCAGAATTGTTCACAGTAGCCACGTTTACATGCAGCCTAATAATCCTTTAATAATCTGACTAATAGCTCAATCTGAATAGAACACGTCCATGTAAACACCTGAATCAGAATCATATAGTCCGAATGAGGCCATTCAGAATAAAGTGTCTATCCGACTGATCGAGGTGGGTAATCCTGTAAATAATCCGTTAAATAGAAGAATAATATCCGTGTAAACGCCTGTATCTGATTACATTCCCTATCGGAAAGTTTAAGTCCGTTCTGATCATGTTCGTCGTGTCATAGTGAGAGTTTATACCGTTCAACGTGGCGGAGCAGAAACTGGTCTGCAGAGGAGACGAAGTTTATGCTCTGATCTTTAAAAGACGGCGGTGGGACGGACGTCCAGCTTATGTGTCTCAGAACGCGACGTCGTCCTCTCGGCCTTCTTTAATAAGGACATGTGAAGGACGTTTTCCTGAGTCTGACATCATTTTAAAGTAATTAAAAGCACAAGCACTGCTCACTGCTGCTCATCTCACTCTGACTGGACTCATGTGATGCTGGTTGTCATAGTAACGTCTACAGTAAGTGGTTCTCTACACATGCTTGTTAGTTTGGATCGGATCACTTGTCGTGTGAATGTAAACAGAGATTTTCATCAGATTGTTGAGTGGAGTGAGCATAAACACCTCAGTCTTAATCTGTAATTGGAGTGTATTCAATCAGATTGGCAGAAATCTTTGCATGTAAACAGAGCCAGTGATGGTGATAGGAACCAGACGTCCACTTCTAAAAGCTCCTTCACAGAAAATTATTACAGGAAATGGTTATGAATTCACTGCCTGACATTGTTTTACACTAGTTTTAAGGTTTTGGCCAAAAACATATTTAAAAAAAAATACTGGGCTGGGCATTTCTTGCTTCCATTGAAGGTCCTGTTTAATAAATATGAGACCATTTGCCCCAACGTGCAGTGTTCTCTACGTCTTCTTCTGCGCCAATGCTACAATACTACAAAGAAAAAGATCTTACAGGTAGTGAATTTTCAGATGCAGGTGAGCACGAAGCTCACAGCATTTCAAACACCGGTTCAGTGACAGACAATAAAGATGAACACTCTGGAGGAAAAAAGAAGGAGCTTCTCTTTGACGTTGCCCTTAGTTAGTTGTTCCTGAAAGGAGAACCTTTTTTCAAACGTGGCTAGACTGATATTGGGACTGATAACTACAGCCTTGAAGAATTTTCGCTCAGCAGATGATGCAGCGCTCAGTAACCGGCCACTTCCAGCAGGGTTTTAAAAACAGAGGAGTATCAGGAATAGAAAACAGCTCTGTAAAGCAGACTTCAGAGGCTTAATCACAGGTTATATGAGGATAGAATGGGGCGCATTAAGGTTCATTTGAGTTCAGCTGCTTGCGTTTTGCTGTGTATTTCCTCTGGCTGCACATTTAGCATTAGTATTTGGTTGCTAGTCCCACTTAGAGTTGCTGTCCTATTAAAGGGATGGTTTGATGTTTTGTGTTTACATATATACACCGATCAGGCATAACATTATGAGCACCTCCTTGTTTCTACGCTCATTGTCCATTTTATCAGCTCCACTTACTATATAGGTGCACTTTGTAGTTCTACAGTTACAGACTGTAGTCCATCTGTTTCTCTGATACTTTGTTAGCCCCCATTTACCCTGTTCTTCAGTGGTCAGGACCCCCATGGACCCTCACAGAGCAGGTACTATTTGGGTGGTGGATCATTCTCAGCACTGCAGTAACACTGACATGGTGGTGGTGTGTGAGTGTGTGTTGTGCTGGTACGAGTGGATCAGACACAGCAGTGCTGCTGGAGTTTTTATACACTGTGTCCACACACTGGTGTTGTTGGACCACCTTGTAGATGTAAAGTCAGAGACGATAGCTCATCTCTTGCTGTACAGTATGAGCTAATCATCCTCTAGACCTTCATCAGTGGTCACAGGACGCTGCCCACAGGACGCTGTTGGCTGGATATTTTTGGTTGGTGGACTATTCTCAGTCCAGCAGCGACACTGAGGTGTTTAAAAACTCCAGCAGCACTGCTGTGTCTGATCCACTCAGACCAGCGCAACACACACTAACACACCACCACCACGTCAGTGTTACTGCAGTGCTGAGAATGATCCACCACCCAAATAGTACCTGCTCTGTGAGGGTCCATGGGGGTCCTGACCACTGAAGAACAGGGTAAATGGGGGCTAACAAAGTATCAGAGAAACAGATGGACTACAGTCTGTAACTGTAGAACTACAAAGTGCTCCTATATAGTAAGTGGAGCTGATAAAATGGACAATGAGTGTAGAAACAAGGAGGTGGTCAGAATGTTATGCCTGATCGGTGTATATACGAGACTTTCTCCTGACAGTCTTTAGAGTGATATCTTGATGGGAAACAATGGGAGCCATCTTACCCAATCAGACGCTCTCTATCATTCCAAAGATAAAACTTGCGGATCTCCAGCGTCTGGTCTGGAGACCTGCCTCAGGTTCTCCGAATTAATCGATACGCATGTGTTGTGGGTGGAGGTGCCACAATACCACATTTTCTTTTCCAATATTGATGTTGAAACCTGGAGCGAAGGACGACACCAGTACTGATCCAGTATTTCTTCCTTAAAAACTAGTATGTTTTTAAACTGTTTATTTTTCTTCATTTAAGATGTTCATGTAAGGTGACTTCACCGATACTGAAACCACTCAGACAGTCTGTTAACACCCACAGGGACAGCTACACAGCTAACAACATCACAGCACACAGAGTGAGTGAAGGCTGTCCCTCTTCCCTCTCAAAGCACATCCAGCACTTTCTGGCCTAAAACCGATTCCTGTTATGATATGAGATCAGTGCCATGTCAAGTTCTTAGTTATGATGTTGATGATACTCTTATTATTGGTGAATTTTTCTCTCTCTCTCTCTCTCTCTCTCTCTCTCTCTTTCTCTCTCTCTCTCTCTCTCTCTCTCTCTCTCTCTCTCTCTCTCTCTCTCTCTCTCTCTCTCTCTCTCTCTCTCTCTCTCTCAGTTTGCAGTGCACCTCGGACTCCCCTACAGACTCTCTGCGCTTTTTCTCCAAGTTTGAGTGCGGAAATCTGCGTAAAGCCATCCACATCCGGAGGTCAGATTCAATCTACAATAATACACACACTTCACTCTCTCACACACACAGACATAAGCAACCTTATATATTGTAGAGATGCACAATGATACTGGACTCTGTATCGGCTTTAAAATAGTGATTGACACTGGACAGATGTTTAGATTGGACCGATATTTCAAATGGATATTAGGTCAGGCCTTTGTTATTCTGTGTAAGAGCAGAACTTTGGGCTCCTACACTAAAATATCTATTTTATTCATTGTAGTGCATTTGGAACCACTATTACAGCCAATCTAGCCTGACAGTTTCCAGTTACTTTTACCTTGGATAAGTTTATGCTTAAATACCTAGACAGCTCACAATGCATGGCTGATAGCATGACATGGTGGTTGTGTGTTCGTGTATGTTGCGCTGGTGCGAGTGGATCAGACACAGCAGTGCTGCTGGAGTTTTAAACACCTCAGTGTCGCTGCTGGACTGAGAACCAAAAATGTCCTGTGGGCAGCGTCCTGTGACCACTGATGAAGGACTAGAGGATGACCAACACAAACTGTGCAGCAGCAGATGAGCTATCGTCTCTGACTTTACATCTACAAGGTGGACCGACAAGGTAGGAGTGTCTAATAGAGTGGACAGTGAGTGGACACAGTGTTTAAAAACTCCAGCAGCACTGTTGTGTCTGATCCACTCAGACCAGCGCAACACACACTAACACACCACCACCACGTCAGTGTTACTGCAGTGCTGAGAATGACCCACCACCACGTCAGTAAGATAATACAGTGGTTATCGTAATTTTTTAACGGAGAAAATTCCCACATTTGTGGGTTTCTTTGGTCTCTTGTTCTCCGTCTTGCCGGTTTTTCTTTTTTTCTCATATCTCTCTGTTTGGAGTCTCTGAAAAACCTCCGTTTGGAGGGTCATGTAGCCCCAACACTTCACCCTCCCCCTCTATCTCAATCAGGACACCCTACAAAACAGAGGGATAGGGCTGAGTGGTAGGGGCGAGGGGTGAAATGGGATTGGGCCTAAATTTGCACTAAAATTGTGAACGTTTAAATATATTTTCACTCACAAAATCAACAAAACATGGGATTTGTCCAGGGGTGTTCAGACTTTTGCATACGACTGTGGTGAGTGGACCTAAATGGACAGTGAGTGTAGATACACCTGCACTCGAAGCCGAGAGCTCAGCATGTGCCCTTGGGCCTCATTTGCAGTACTTCCACAAACTCTCTCTCTCTCTCTCTCTCTCTCTCTCTCACACACACACGTCCGTCTCCCACTCGAGTGTGTTCTGTCTGAGTGTGTTCTGCGCTGTTGATCTATTCCTGATCAAATCAAAGCTGCCTGCTCTCCAGCACAGACGCCCCTTAAATAAAACAGCTCCGGCTATATTCTCCAGAGGAGGCAGATAAGGATGAAATTAAAGATATCTCTCTGTATGTAATGTGTCTCTCTACCTTTCGGGGTTTGTTTTTCTCTCTCTGTCTTTCTGTCTCTCCTTTTATTTCTCTCCTCTGTTCCTCCCTCTCTGTTTAATTGTGATTCAGTGAGATTTATTAGCGTGGCTGTATTAAGTTATAGAGAAAATCCACTTCAGATCAGTCCACAAAACTTTCTGACTGATAGTCTCAGCTTTGCTCATTACTGTAGGAAATAATGGCATTGTGCTCAGTAGATAGCGTGCAGTGTTTTAGACTTGTCTTCATTAGTTTATGAGATATAGAGGCTTTAAAAAGGGGCTGTGGGAGTAATGTTTGATGTCAAATGAACGCTGTAGAAAAAGGTGCAAAGTTTAATAAGTTATAAGCTCGAACTGTTGATGGTAGATGCATGAAATTGCATCCTGAAATAGAAGAGGCAAAAATTCATATTTGCCATTTTTATATACAGCCTTAAAAAGATGCTTCTTCAAGGGTTCTTTAGGGTCTCATTTACCAACCGTCCTTAAGAACAAATTTCTTCTTCTTCTTCTTTCACTTATTCAGTTTTCAGGAAGATTCATTTACCAATGTTCTCTTATTTGGGGTTTGTTCTTGGGTAAGAACAGAATCTACACACAAGAGCATGAAGGTGAGAACAGTTCTGCGCTTTAGGAACATGACATGAATCTGACTTTTTCTCAGGAACACATTTGAAAACAAATTTAGGAAGATGCACCGATCAGGCATAACATTCTGACCACCTCCTTGTTTCTACGCTCATTGTCCATTTTATCAGCTCCACTTACTATATAGGTGCACTTTGTAGTTCTACAGTTACAGACTGTAGTCCATCTGTTTCTCTGATACTTTGTTAGCCCCCTTTTACCCTGTTCTTCAGTGGTCAGGACCCCCATGGACCCTCACAGAGCAGGTACTATTTGGGTGGTGGATCATTCTCAGCACTGCAGTAACACTGACGTAGTGGTGGTGTGTTAGTGTGTGTTGCGCTGGTCTGAGTGGATCAGACACAGCAGTGCTGCTGGAGTTTTTAAACACTGTGTCCACTCACTGTCCACTCTATTAGACACTCCTACCTTGTCGGTCCACCTTGTAGATGTAAAGTCAGAGACGATAGCTCATCTGCTGCTGCACAGTTTGTGTTGGTCATCCTCTAGTCCTTCATCAGTGGTCACAGGATGCTGCCCAAGGACATTTTTGGTTCTCAGTCCAGCAGCGACACTGAGGTGTTTAAAACTCCAGCAGCACTGCTGTGTCTGATCCACTCAGACCAGCGCAACACACACTAACACACCACCACCACGTCAGTGTTCCTGCAGTGCTGAGAATGACCCACCAGTGATCCAGGGAATTTCACATGTCGTGCTCTAAAAAGAGAAACGTGACAATAAATCTTGTTGAAATATGACTGAATTGTACTTTATTTGATTTTACATTCAGTTGTTGACTACATAAGATACTGATATACCTGCTAGGCTACTTCAGTCATGATGCAAGTTAGATATTATGATGTTTTGGACCTGAGATTGAGGATATTTTCTCTAACTGGACCTAATTGAATTTTAATTAAAGACCCCTGCTGTATAGGGATCTTAAATATGCCTTTCTCTGCTAATTTTAGTGCAAGATTTTTATTAATTTGCTTAGTTTAACATACTGGAAAAAGTTTTTATTTTTTTCCCCCAATGTGTTTAATTCTGCAAATAAACAGAATTTTTCTGGATATTGGATATTGAATGGTAACTACACTTAATACCAAGCTTCCTCGAGGAGAGCTTTGGAAATGGTTAAACGAAAACATTCACACAAAAAATCACTTCTTACTAAACTAATATTGTTTATATTGTTTATATAGTTAGTCTTTTTTGAGAGAATTAATGCCTATTGTTCGGCTAAATAGCTTATTAAATATAATTTTCTAACATGCCCAAGATGTTTACACGGTGCTGTTTGTGTGGTGTATTTTTATTGTTTGGAGGGGGGGGGGTCACTCACAGTCTCTCTCTTTTTCTATCTTCCTCTCCTCATTCCTTCTCCACTCTTTCCTCAGGTATGAATACGATCTGATCCTCAACGCTGATGTGAACTCCTCTTCACACCATCAGTGGTTTTACTTCGAGGTCAGCGGGATGGTGGCGAACGTTCCTTACCGCTTCAACGTCATGAACTGTGAGAAAAGCAACAGCCAGTTCAACTACGGTAAACAAAGCGCCGCGAGCTTCTGTCCTAACGTCATCATTTACAGTCATATTCTGGACAAATTCCATGTTTTCAAAGTGAAAATAAGTTAATAACTTCATAGGAAATCTGCATAAAACAGTGAGTGCGTTAACATGCGCTCAATAATCCGATCATAATCGGATTTCTGCAGTTATCCGATTATTCAAACACGATACTCCGATCTAGAATTCCCACTAAGAAATCTGATAAAGAGGCTGGATTTTAGCTCAGTAATCAGATTTCTCAGTGCATGTGAACTCTTACTCTGATTTCTTTTGGATTTCTCAGTCTGCGCATGCGTGAAAACAGACGGCGGTACCGGAAATGAGCGAGCAGCGTCGCTGCGAGACGCAGCAAAACACTTTGAAAACCGAACACGAAATAAAGGATTTAAATATTCTTCATCTTCTAGGTGATGTTTGTTCATTTTTCGAGTGAAGTCGCGCGATGTTTAAAAAACAGCCACAACATGAATTTTACTTTAGGGTTACGTCACGTCGTCTTCTGTGAGTTTATTGGCTGGTTGAAAAGCAGAAATCTGATTACTGTCTGACTCATGTAGACCGGAGTTTCCCCATCATCTCATTACTTAAGCGCATGTAAACGTGTCGATCAGATTACTGGCAAAATCTGATTTTCTGCAGTTTTTTCGGATTATTACGCGCATGTAAACGCACTCAGTGAAGTTACGAGAGGAAAAGAACATTTTCACTGCGAGACTGAACTTTACACTGCTTGTGCTGGAAAAACACCAGTAATAAAGGCCTATTTGATCACACTGCCACTCTTATAAAGGATGGTTCTTCAAGGGTTCTATTTAGAGCTAGGAATTCTATATAGAATCATTTCATGCGGTTCTTTGCGGGCGTGAAATGGTTCTTCAGACTGATGGAGAATGTGTTGTATATGGTTTCATATCGCACCAAAAAGGGCTCTTCTACTGTTACGATGTTGAGCTTGTTACAATAGAAGAACCCTATTCAAAATGAAGAACCATTTCACCATGCAAAGAACATTTTCAGTGGTGAATTGTTCTGTATAGACCTCATGGTTCTAACTATTCCCTTTACTAAAGAACCCTTGAGGAACCGTCTTTTTTGAGAGGTGTGAGAGGCAGGTGTCTATTCAGTGGTGGAATATATGAAGCCAATGGTTCAGTCTGAGAAACAGAGCTAATTCATATTGGATCTTACAAAGATAAAATGGTTAAAATGGTTAAAATCCATCTTTAAAGTCACAACACTGAAGTAGAGTCTGCAGACATGAACTCTCAGTCCCAGCCACAATGGTCAAAACTGAGCGTGCCGTTGGGCAGCTTCTACTTAGCAATATCATCACTTCATCCATTTTTCGTCCATATTACGTTTAATTTAACTCCTTGTTCAAAAAAGTCATAGAACCCATTAAACGTGCTTCTTGGTTCCTGGTGGTGTCCAGTAGTCGCTAATGGTATTCTGTGTTTTCCTGATGGCTTGATATCGCAGTGTAAAGGTTTCAAATCATTTAATCAGGTGTTTTTGGGGCTGATTCCAGAGATTTGTTCGTAATGGTCTCAAACGGCCACCATCAAGCCCACTCCTGTTAGGAAGCAAAGCCATCAGGTTTTCTTCCTAACAGTTCTAGTCATCTTCAGCATGGCTTCCATGAGTTTCAGTAGCCTATTTGTTTTTTTCTGCGAATAAACCAGACATTCATGTCTTTATCGTTGTGGTTTTACTATGAAAGTTTCCATATTTAATTAGATTATCAGTATGACAATGTTTATATAAGCACAGTGTAACTCTTTTCGCCCAACAGTACGTGGTTCACTGTTTTTCCTCATAAACCCGACAAAACACTGAATGCGTTTACATGCACTCAATAATCCGATAACTGCAGAAAATCAGATTTTGTCAGCAATCCGATCAACACATTTACAAGCTCTTGAGTAATCAGATAATGGGGAAACTCCAGGTCTACATGAGTCAGGCAATAATCGGATTCCTGCTTTACAACCAGCCAATAAAGTCACAGAAGAAGACGTGACGTAAACGAAAAGTAAAACTCAAACTGAATATATGAACAGACATCATCCAGAAGATGAATATTTAAATCCTTTATTTCGTGTTTGGTTTCAGCGTCACTCCAACAGTGTTTTGCTGCCATCTTGCAACATCCACCGTCTGATCTCATGCATATGCAGACTGAGAAATCCGAAAGAAATCAGAGTAAGAGTTTACATGTACTGAGAAATCTGATTACTGAGCTAAAATCCAGCCTTTTAATCGGATTTCTAGATTGGAGTATGGTGTTTACATGACCATTTGAATAATTGGATAACTGCAGAAATCCGATTATGACCGGATTATTGAGTGCATGTTAACGCACTCACTGTCGTGTCATTGGTAACACTTTCTATGAATGTCACCTTTGTAAGCATCTATAAACACATTCATAACATGTTATAATGCGTTCATAAGGCATTATAAACATGGCTATAAATATTTAAAAAAATGCATTACACGTTATAGCTATGCTTATTATGCATTATGAATTGTTAACATAATACATTATAACTACTGATCATAACAAATTATAAGAGCTCATAAGTCGTATTTGTCCACTCTAAGTAAAGTGAAGCGTACTGTACTAAAGCCTCCTCCAGTGTTCAGAGTGAAGCTTCAAGTTGAAGTATTTACTGAAGGATTTACTGAAACACTAAAACATTCACAGTAAAGCACATTACAGGCTTCAAATGTCAGAGTTTAAACTAGAGCTGCCATCAGTGTTTTACCCAATGTGGGAAAGGTAATGTTCACCACCGTTAGCTTGGTATTTGTCTTTACTTTACGCTCTCCAAGCTGGGACTGACTTCTTTGGCACTGACATTATAACATGTTATTAACACTATTTATAATGCATTATATTAACAATTCATAATGTATAATAAACATGGCTATAAAGTGTAATTCAATTTTATAAATGTTTATAATCACGTTTTGTAATGCCATATGAATGCATTATAACATGTTATAAATGGGTTTATAGATGCTTACAAAGGTGACATTCATAGAAAGTGTTACCACGTCGTAGGCTGGCGGTGCATGTCAGGTTGAGAGTGCGTGTCTCAAAGTACTGCCTTCACATTGTGTTGATTTTACCCGATTTTCTCCCCAATTTAATCATCTCCAATTCCACCCGCTAGTTAGGACTCCCCCAATCACACGATGCTATCAACGCTAGGAGGGTGAAGGCTAACACAGGCTTCCTCCGAGACCTGTGAAACCAACCACCGCTTCTTTTCGAGCTGCCGCTCACGTAACGTCACTGGACAGCCGAACGCACTCGGAGGAAAGCGCCAACCGCCAGATCTGTTACATCAGCTAACAGACGCCTACGCTGACTAGCATCGCGCTGAGTGATGGGGGGAGAAGGAGGGGCCATCCTACCCACCCAGAGAGAGCGAGGCCAATTGTGCTCTCTTGGACTCCCGGCTACGGACGGCTGTAGCATCACCAGGGATCAAACTCGCAATCTCCTGATGAGGGACAGCGCTTAGACGGTTGCACCACTCGGGAGCCCGTGTTGATTTTTTAAGTGTAAATAAGTGAACAAGTCCTCTACAGAGACACACTTCTGCACATTTTAATACACAGTTACTGTTTATTTGCTGAATTTAACATGAAAAAAATAAAACGTGGCATTTTATATTTTATATTTTCTGTTTTCCAATATATAAAAATGATGCACTAAAATTTGCAGAAAAATGCATATTTACACATCTTTCCTCTTGAAGATGTTTTAACATATTTTTACTCAGAAAATATACAAAATGTGTAATTTGATCAGGGGTGTTCAAACTTCTGCATACAACTTAAAGCAATTACCAGCCGATAACTGAGATGATACTGATATCAATATGCCTATTTATCGCCTGGTCACTCTTTTAAAATGGTTCCACAAGGGTTCTTTAGTAAAGAAAATGGTTCTATTTAGATCCATGAGTTCTATATAGCATTTCATGCTTAATTGGTTCTTTGCATGGTGAAGTCATTCTTCAGATTGATAGGGAATAGGCTGTCTATGGTTCTATGTAGCACCAGAATTGGGTTTGGCAATTGATACAAGCTTGATATTGTAACAATAGAAGAATACTTTTTGGTGCTATATAGAACCCTTTTCTAAACAGCACATCTTTAAACATGCAAAGGGTTCTTAGTGTTCATGGTTCTATATCAAACCATTTTCTTTACTAAAGAACCATTGAGGAACCATCTTTTTTAGGAGTGATAGTTTGAAATGTTTCTATATACAGTACTCCTTAGATGTGGTGATTTCACTTCATGTGAGATGGAACTTAGGTGTGTGTGTATGTATGTATGTGTGTGTGTGTGTGTGTGTATGTGTGTGTCAGGCATGCAGCCGGTGCTGTATTCAGTGAGGGAGGCGCTGGAGGGCAGACCTCATTGGGTTAGAGCTGGAACTGAAATATGCTACTACAGGTGAGCATGTATTTCATATGGTTTACATGATTCCATACACAAAATAAGATCAGAAGGAATCTAGACGTTGCACAGCTATTGACTAGTTATTTGAGAAATAGTCAAATATTCGTCTAGTTGTCATAACCACATTAAAAAGAGGTGACTGTTCTAGGCGTCTGTGTAAAGTATTTTGTTGGTAGTTGCCAATAGGGGCTGGTTCTAGTAGCAGAAGCTGTGGTTTGAGGTGTGAGATCTTCACTGCAGAAGAGTTTTTGTTGTGTTTCAGTGAGTATTTCAGAAGTGCACATACTGTCTGATGTAAACTGCACGCTAAAATCACCACAGCTCAGAATCCCAGCTCTCACTGAGAGTGCAAACTGGGGTCTGATGGGAAACGGTCGATTGTTTATTAAACTAAACGCTACACTCTTAAACACAGTTCTTCGAGGGTTCTTTAGTAAAGGGAATGGTTGTATTTAGAACCATGAGTTGTATATACAACCACTTGCATGCTTAAATGGGTCTTTGCATGGTGCAGTCATTCTTCAGATTGATGAAGAGTGCATTAATGGTTCTATATAGCACCAAAATGAGTTCTGCTGTTGTTATGTTGTCAAGCTTGTAACAATAGAAGAACCAGTTTTGGTGCTATTTAGAACCACTTCCAAAAAGGTTCTATATAGAACCATATACATCACATTGCCCATCAATCTAAATAATTATTTCACAATGTAAAGAACACTTTACCATGCAGATGGTCCTGTATAGAGCTCATAGTTCTAAATAGAACCTTTCCTTTTAAGAGCCCTCTTTTTAAGATAGAAGCAGTTGCATCTCTACTCAGGGCCAAACCTTTCAGAGTGCAATATAGGAGCCACTATATATATATATATATATATATATATATATATATATATATATATATATATATATATCATACATACATACACACACGTATGTAGAGTCACTGAACCAGGAAACATTTAAGGGAACCCAATTTTAAGGGACGTATCCTCATGCGTTTGCAGACTGGTACTCCAAGTTTGTTTTCAGTGCACACATCACACTAAAGGTTCTGTAAAGTCAGTCGAGTGGCCCTTTACTGCCTCCGTTCTCAAAATCTACCCGGTCAGGCTTACGAGGCTGTATTTCAGCACAGTTTTACACAGCTTGCAGTGGAATTGGTTTCATTTCGTGTAATATCTCCACACAAATAAAGAACTTGGTGTTCACCACTGCTGTAAACTAGTTGACTGCTGCCCACAGCGCCCACTAGTGGATTTAATAGTCATCTACATTATGCAGCCCCTACAGGAAACACATTTTCTGGAAATGTCCACTATGTTTTGAGGCTAATTAGTTCACACAGAGGTTACAGTTCAAGGATTAAGGCAGCAGCATATTTTCCAGATGTGTTCTCCCTGTTTTGTCTGAAATAGAACAGTATTTTGCCTTGTTTAATTCTCCGATGTGCACTGCAAGCCACTGGCAAAATCTAGAACTACGTGCTGACGTTTAATTCCAACGTTCTCAAGGGCTGTAAATAGAGATTAGTAGTTTATCAGCTTTCTAAGTATACGACTCTTCTACAAATAAATCAAAAGCACATTTCAAAACAGTGACTCTTTTTACTCAAGGAAATGGACACGATATTTGATGTATTATCATTCCTGAGAAAGCTTATTAAACCACTCAGGTCTAACTGTAGGATGCTTGTGTGCAGCTATCAAGTCCACAAGTCTGCCATGCCTGGCAGCATACAGGACTTTAAGAGAGCTGCAGTGATCAAGGATATGTGCTACTGACTCCAGATGTTGAGGAGTCATGCAGCTGACCAAAAGGTGAATGAGGGGATGGGTACCAAACGTGCAAAAGCAAAATGGGTAGCATAATAACTCTGGGCTTCTAAGGGTTAAAACTGAACAGATGATAAACTCTGGACTGTGAAGGGTTAAAACCACTCTGGACTGTGAAGGGTTAAGACCACTCTGGACTGTGAAGGATTAAGACCACTCTGGACTGTGAAGGGTTAAGGCCACTCTGGACTGTGAAGGGTTAAGACTACTCTGGACTGTGAAGGGTTAAGGGTCTGTGGTTACTCAGGGGGTCCCCCAAGGCTCAGTCCTTGGACCTCTTTTGTTTATTGTGTACATGCTTCCTCTTGGCCACATAATACGTAGTTTCAAGCTGAACTTTCACTGTTATGTGGATGACACACAGATTTACATTAGCACTCAATCTATTAAAAATCCACCCCTCACCCAGCTTGAAAACTGCATAACAGAAATAAAAACCTGGATGAAGCACAACTTTCTCATGTTAAATAGTGACAAAACAGAACTTATTCTTATAGGATCCAAATCAACTCTCTCTAAAACCTCCCCTTCCCCTCTGGTACGAAATCTGGGCGTTCTCTTTGACTCAACTCTCTCATTCAGTGCACACATCAACTCCGTAGTTAAAACCTCTTTTTTCCATCTCCGTAACATCGTCACTCTCTCAGTCTGCTGCAGAAACCCTTATTCATGCATTCATTTCTAGTCGCCTGGACTGTTGTAACTCTCTACCTGCTGGTATTAACTCCTCCCATTTATGCAAACTCCAGATGGTACAGAACTCTGCTGCTCGCCTCCTCACTCGCACCCGTGCACATCAGCATATTACACCCATCCTGCAACATCTCCACTGGCTTCCTGTAAAATACCGCACACAATTCAAAATTCTTCTCCTCACATACAGAGCTCTACACAACCTCGCTCCTTCTTACCTCTCTGGTCTACTTATTCCTTACAAACCAACTCGCACTCTCAGGTCTTCCTCTGCTGGTTTACTCACTGTCCCACCTTCCAAACTTCATGGCCGTGCTTTCTCTAGGCTGGCTCCCCGACTCTGGAACTCTCTTCCCTCACATATTCAACAGGCGAAAGTCTCCACTTTTAAATCTAAACTTAAAACTTATCTCTTTTCCGTTGCTTAGAACTGTTCTCAATCCTAAACCAGCCCTTTGCCAAGTCCTGCTATGTTTTGCTTGTGATATTATGACTGTGCTTCATGTTATCATGTCTGTCTTTACTGTTCTGTATTTCAAAAACCTGTAAGCATCTTTGAGTTCTTGAAAAGCGCTATATAAGTAATTTATTATTATTATTATTATTATTATTATTAAGACCACTCTGGACTGTGAAGGGTTAAGACCACTCTGGACTGTGAAGGGTTAAGGCCACTCTGGACTGTGAGGGGTTAAGGCCAAACAGACAATAATAACTGTGGGCTTCTAAGGGTTAAAACCAAACAGACATGTTGTCTTTTTCAAGTGAATCTACATTTTGTGTAGATCAATATCCCCCAGATCACTTCATATGAAATGATAAATTCTTCTGTGTCCTCGTTACAGTCTTCACTGTTAGTTATTACACTGTAATGGGAATAAGAAAGTGATAGTTCATACACTGTGCATGAAACGGTTCTCATTCCTGCGTCTCTCATTCCCCCACTCGCTCTCAGTAGCTGTATTTAGCCGTTGGCTTTGCGCAGTAATGGACGCATCGATCTGCTTGTTTGAACCGCACTTAGCTTTCAAATCAGTCAGCCTGTAGATGTCCCAGGCTGCTGACCATCTCAAAGCTCCAGAAGGAAAATGAAACACAAAGAACCAGAAACAAACTTAGTTTTATAGGTTTTTTTGTTTTTTTCTGGATGGACTGGATGACTCAGACAAAGAACAACAGAGACTGGTTAAAATGAGCCAGACCTTTATTATCTTAATAATTAACATGTGAAAATGTAAAAGAAGAATAGAGAAAAGAGGGTCTACATGAGGGTCCACACTTCAGTTCCTCACTTTCATAACTACAGAACTTACTTGTCTCCTTGTAGTTAGAAAACAATTCATGACAGATACTGAATTATTCACAGTAATTAATTCATAATTCAAAGTAATTACTGAATAATAAGACCAGTGAATAATTCGTAGTGGATTCAGGATACTTCATAGTAGTTACTGAATAAATTGTAGTGGATACTGAATAATTCATAGCAGTTGATGAATAATTAATAGTGGTTACTGAATCATTAATACTAGTTATTGAAAAATTCATTGTGATTACTGAATAATTAATAGTAGTCAGTGAATATTGTGTGGTAGATTCTGAATAATTCATAGTGGTTACTGAGTAATTCATAGTAGATACTGAGTAATTCATAGTGGGCACTGAGTAATTCATAGTAGATACAGAGTAATTCATAGTAGATACTGAGTAATTCATAAAGGGCACTGAGTAATTTATAGTAGATACTGACTAATTCATAGTGGTTACTGAGTAATTCATAGTGGGCACTGAGTAATTCATAGTGGGCACTGAGTAATTCATAGTAGATACAGAGTAATTCATAGTGGGCACTGAGTAATTCATAGTAGATACTGAGTAATTCATAGTGGTTACTGAGTAATTCATAGTGGGCACTGAGTAATTCATAGTAGATACAGAGTAATTCATAGTAGATACAGAGTAATTCATAGTAGATACTGAGTAATTCATAGTAGATACAGAGTAATTCATAGTGGGCACTGAGTAATTCATAGTGGGCACTGAGTAATTCATAGTAGATACAGAGTAATTCATAGTAGATACAGAGTAATTCATAGTAGATACTGAGTAATTCATAGTAGATACTGAGTAATTCATAGTAGATACAGAGTAATTCATAGTGGGCACTGAGTAATTCATAGTAGATACAGAGTAATTCATAGTGGGCACTGAGTAATTCATAGTGGGCACTGAGTAATTCATAGTAGATACAGAGTAATTCATAGTGGGCACTGAGTAATTCATAGTGGGCACTGAGTAATTCATAGTAGATACAGAGTAATTCATAGTGGGCACTGAGTAATTCATAGTGGGCACTGAGTAATTCATAGTAGATACAGAGTAATTCATAGTGGGCACTGAGTAATTCATAGTGGGCACTGAGTAATTCATAGTAGATACTGAGTAATTCATAATAGATACTGAGTAATTCATAGTGGGCACTGAGTAATTCATAGTAGATACTGACTAATTCATAGTAGATACTGAGTAATTCATATGAGATACTGAATAATTCTAAGTAGACACTGAATGATTTGTAGTTGTTGCCCCAAAACAAGTTTCCATCATGATGTCTTAATTTTATAATAGCAGATACTAAATAATTAATAGTCAGTATTTTAATCATAGCAGATTTTGCATAATTCATATTGAGTCATTTGTATGTGTCTCACTATTAATAAGTGAATAATAAATTTAGGCTTCAATGGGTTAAAAAACAAATATTAAGAAATACTGAAATGTTTTCCCCTCCTTCTCTTCTTATGGCTTCAGGAACCATTTCTGCCCCAGCAGAGGTCAGAGAGGTCAGTCCTTTTACACCCTTACCTTCACCGTGACCTTTAGGCATGAGGAGGACGTGTGCTACCTGGCCTATCATTACCCATACACCTACTCAGGCCTGCAGGTAACGGAGAGTGGGAGGGAGTGCTGTGTTCTGATTAGACCTCAGGTGTGTGTGTGTGCTGAGTAACAGGCAGTTTTTTCCTTCTTCTCTGACAGGCCTCAGGTATGTGTGTCAACAAAACTTTAAGGTGATCTCAGGACAAACTTTCATTTTCTTCAGTACAGTTGGGAAAAGATTTAGGGATACAAATGGACACAGATAAGCAAAACCAGGCCAAAATGTGCCTTGATGCAGCTGCAGAATGCACCCATAAAGCAGCAGAATTGAGTGGTTGATTTACTAAGCCTTTAGCTAATCACACAAATCACACAGGACCTCCCAACTGCCTCAGGTGCAGGGCTTAAAAGAGGCAGTGAAATAATGGAGCAACAAGCTCAAAAGAGTAAATTACAGTTCAGTGTTCAGAGATAGTGTTGAAGGGGAACTCCAAAGATTTTTAAAAATTCTACATAATTGAATGTTTGAGATGTAAACAGAGTGGTTCGGAGTGGTTTGGTGTGAAACGCTCTGCTCTAGAGAAACTGACCAAGTCAGAATTGTTCACAGTGGTGGTGATAGGAACCAGACGTCCACCTCTAAAAGCTCCCTCACAGAAAGTTACTACATGAAATGGTTATGAATTCACTGTCTGATGACTGAGACACTGTTTTATGGCAGTTTTGAGAACTTAAACTCCATTCATGGTGGAGGGATACATGCAGGGCGCTGTGAGGCAAAATAGTCCCAAAGAAAACTTATTTCAGATTTTCCACTATTTTCCATCATCAACATTCCAAACTCAGAAGACTCGTGTAGGTTCACTGGTGGTTCTGGATAGTAAATAAAATGTCTATATTTGTGTTGTAGTCATGGCGACCCCTGGTTCCTATCACCACCACTGTAAAGAAATCTGAACCATTTCACACCAAACCACTCTGAATCCCTCTGTTTACATCTCGAACACTCAGTTATGCAGAAATCTTGAAAAATTGGTGGAATTCCCCTTTAGTAAATGAAATTCTTTCCCATCAAAATGTTATACAGAGACATAGTTTTACTTTACATTAAAAAAAGGGAAACAATTACATATCGCAGCCACATCAAGGCACATTTTGTGCTGCTCCTTTTGAAGTATGTTTATTTGAATGTCCTGAAATAGTTTATTTGAATGGAAAACGTTTGGCGCCTGTTGGAGGCTCGTGTCTCCATCCAGCCGCTGTGTCTGCTCCCAACAAGAGGCCACAACTTAGGCTGATGTGCAGCTTTGGAGCCCTTTCTGCTGCCATTTTTAAAGGCCATTGTCCTAACAACATGCCTTTAAGATGTTATGGCTGGATTTAAGACGTAGAGAAAACGTCTGGATGCTGTTAGTAAATTTAGTAAATTGTGCAGAGTCATCCAGTGTGTGTAGCAAAGACAGTCGTAATTTATTTTACACAACCATTTTCAAACCACTCTTCAGTGTATTTGGTTGCTGTTGAAAAAATAAAGGGATTTTCTTGTATAACATTTTAAAAAGGCATTATTGGTGGTATTTCCACTAATAATGGTATTAATAAGACTGGTCTTATTAATTGGTTGATTTTATATGTGAAATGATCTGTCGGACCCCAGTGTTGATTTATTGTGTGTGTCTGCAGTCCCACCTGCAGGTTCTGGAGCGCTCGGTGGACCCTCGCAAAGTGTTCTTCAGGCAGCAGACGCTGTGTAACACACTCGCAGGAAACTCCTGCCCACTCATCACCATCACGGCCTGTCCACCGTCCAGAGCTTGGAGACACTTACACCAGCTCCGTGAGTTTATTTTCAAGTTTATCCAAGTTTTATTGTCGTATGCATGACAACACTGCAGACTCCCCTGAGCTGACAGGTCATGACTGAAGGCACCTAACCCCCAACTGCTCCCTGGGAGCCGTGTATAGGGCTGCCCACCGCTCCGGGCAAGTGTGCTCACTACCCCCTAGTGTGTTCACTAGTGTGTATGTGGGTGTTTCACTGCACACATGGGTTAAATTCGAAGGTGAATTTCCCCGTTGTGGGATTAATAAAGGCTAACTTTACTCGGATCAGAGTAAGGTCTAGAAATCTGATTAAATAAATCCAATAAAGAGGCTGGATTTTAGCTCAGTAATCAGATTTCTTTCGGATTTGTCAGTCTGAGCATGTGCGAAATCAGATGGCAGTACTGGAAATAAGTGAGCAGCGTTGCTGCGAGACGCAGCAAAACATTTTTGGACCGACCCTAAACCGACTACATGCATGTTGAAATAAATTATTTAAATATTCTTCATCTTCTAAATGATGTATGTTCGTATTTTAGATAAAGTGGCACAACGTTTAAAGTTATCTGATTACTCAAGTTCATGTAAACGTGTTGATCAGATTACTGACAAAATCTGATTTTCTGCAGTTATTAGGTTATGAGGTGCATGTAAACCCCCTCAATGTAAACAGTGTAAAAACGGCAAAAGGGAATGTGTGGCGTCGAAGTCCGGTCATCATGTTGCTGTAATGTGCGTGTCTGCTGTATGTACCAGTGCAGCGTCAGCCAATGTGTGAAATGTGCCCTGGTATTCGGTGGGGGGGCTATGTTGGCTGGCTACACCAGCATTGACTGGCAGCTAACTCACTCACCATAGCGGCACTGGTGCTTGAGTTCCGTCAAAATGCTCTGTTCTTGTTTGGTAATGCGCTCCTCCTCACATCAGCTGAGATCTCACACGTCTCCTGTTTTCTTTGGTTTGAGAAATGAGCAAATTCGCTTTATATTAGAAAATTGGGCGACTTTGTGATAAATGTGTACAGGTTTTCAGAGGAATAGTTACAGTCGTTATGGCTATGAAAGACCAACTGGGTGAACTAATTTGCTACAGTGCCACCTTGAGGCAGAGCAGTGCTGCAGCTTTAGTTAGTTAAGAATACCAAGGACAGGAGCTGATTGTAGGTGAAGCGATGAATCTGGATTTGAGCATCTATTTCACATCATAACAAATTTATTCTCAGGGACCCCCAGAATTTACTCTGAGACATTCAGGGGATCCAAGAGGTTACTTAGGGGGTCCCAGCCCCCAAAGGACCACCTGTATTTTGCTTTGTGATGTCAGCTGTTCAGTAGCCTGATGGCTTGCAGATAAAATCGGTCTTTGAACCTGCTGGTTCGGGTTCGGATGCTCCTGTACCCGTAAGAGTCTTTGGCTGGGATGGCTGGGCTGAGAGAGGATCCACTGAGCCTTTCCTCCTGGACTTATTCTTATCTTGAATAAGTCCACTATAAAGAGAAAGAGAGTGAGAATAGGTCATCTTTGTCTGTCTGTACACTCTTAAGGATTCTGTAAAGGTCTCCTGTCCTCGTCTCTGCCGCCTCTCGTCTTCCAGCCATGTGCTTTTGTTTTGGTTCTTTGTGTCCTTGCTTGTGTTGTAAATCTTTGTCTTTGCTGTCATGTGGACTAAGAATAAAGCAACAGAGACTCAGCAGAGACACTCAGACCAGCCGTATGATCAGTGAGTGATGAGTGAACTTTACAACTTAGGAATAAAAACTAAGTAACTTAAGAGAAATAAAAACATCCCACACTTGTTCCACCTTCTTGGTTTGTCCATCTGAGTTTGGTTTGTAAGCCCTTTTTAGTCATAGAGCCCAGGGTTGTGTTTTTTCTTTAGTGAATATAAAACTGTTTTTTTGTTTCTTTGTTTGTTGCCCACAGCGCCCCCGTGAGGCTGCTCTGCATGGCCACGCCTCCTGCACGTCCACAGCCAGTAGCGAGTTGCTACAATATTTTAAAACCTATTTCTTTGCATGATGCTGCACCAGTGCTGTCACCTAAACAGTCGTACACTCTTAAAGATGTTTCTTAATGGGTTCTTAAGTAAAGATAATGGTTCTCCTACATAGAACCATAGAACCCTTGAGGAACCACCTTTTTGTGTACGTTAGTGTTGCTGTTTTTTTTCCTATCTGTGTTTAGCTGATTATCCGTTCATTGACCCTCATGGACACTCGAATATCTGAATCAGCCTGAACACACATCTCCAGCGTGTGCGTCTGCTCGTAACTGTCTGAGACACTCAGGAAATCTGTTTCTGCTCCGACACCTGCTGTCAGGAAAACTCTGAGGGGTGTTTGTGTGACTCAGCAGTGGATGACAAGCTGTCAGCACTTGACTCACATCAGATTTCAGGCATACAGTATGACTTCAAGTGTAAAGCTTCCTCTAATTAGTGCCATCCTTGGTGAAAAGCATAAGCAGCTGTGAAAAAAAATGTCTTTATTACTTTGCAGTGTGTTCACCAAAACTGTGAGGAAAAGCCCGGCCTGTCAGAGAGGTAAAATTATGCAAAAATCTATATAAACAAACACAAATTTCCTCTATAAATCTTATCCATGTCTGTCCTTGCGTGTAATTTGCGTGTCCTGATTGCTTGAATATGAGCAGTGCAGCGTGAGAAGCTCCATAAACTCTCACACATTTTGACCATAAAGTTTTCAGGGCAGCTGCTTTTGAACTGTTTCTACTGGCCAGTTTTTGGTTTTCGACCAGTTTGAGGGCAGTAGTGAGTAATTTGTAATTTGAGTAGATAAAAAAGTGGCTGTTTGTTACTCTTTTATGTTCCTAAACTTTTTATAAACTGAGCTTTGGCAGGACAAATGTATCAGTGCTTGTCCTGTTAGTAAAGCAGCCTGGATGAAACAGACAGAGAGCAGATTAATTACAGCGGAAATGTCACCAATGAGTACAAACAGGACAGAGAACAGATCAGTCAGAGAGAGAGAGAAGAGACAGAAAGGAGGGGTGGAGTGGAGAGAGGAAAGGGAGGGATAAAGAGAGAGACAGAGAGAAGGAAGCAGAGGTATAAAAGAATCTCTCCTCCTTTGTTCACTGGTATAGACAGGATAGTACAGTTGAATGGGAGACATTTTAATTTAACATTTTAATTTAATGTATTTGTAATTTATTTTTATAAGTGTCATTTCTTCTTCTTCTTCTTCTTCTTCTTCTTCTTCTTCTTACCAATATTATTATGATGAATATTAGTTTTACCAATTATTAATACTCCATGAGTTTATATATTTTTTTATCTTTAGTATATATATATATATAATTTATTATTTATACCAGGGGTCGGCAACACATTTTGCTGCCTTGTTGTGGCTCCACAGCTGAATCAGATTTGTAGGTAAAAATAAAATAATCCTCCTTTACAGTAAAATAAAGCTCTGCTGATCGTTCAACACAGTTTAACAATAAATGGTCTTAAACTCTGGAGTTAATGTAGAACTGCTAATTCACCCTTTAACCCTGAGGATCAGCGCAGACCGCTGGTCACCATAGCAACACAGACAACAGTCTCGCCTAGCTAGTAGCTAACGAAACGGCAAAGAGAGAGATTTAAGACGAACATCGATAATTTGGAGACGAATGGACTGATTTGCATTTATAATCACTCCAGCTGGTTTTCTGATACGTTTAATCTGCAGCGAGAAACTGACAAACGCTGAGAAGTCGTGAAGCTCCCGTTCCACCTTAATGGTGCAGCAGTTACATTCTGGCTCCTCCGGCACCATTTAAGGTGGAACAGATCAAACAAGAAGCTGGCGAATGAGACGCGACTTCAGCCTCGTGAAAGATTGAGACGTTGAGAGATATTTTACAAGAAACTGGTATATTTTTGTGGAAAAGTTTCCTGCTGGAGATGTGAGAAAAGCAGCTATAGCTGAGCTAAAGCTTAAAGCAGAGCGAAGTAAGTCTGTGTTTTCGTTTATATTTGATAGCCTGTACTAGCACATACTGAGACATATTTACAGCCAAGATGGTAAAACGGACATAAAACGTTGTGGCTCCCAAGGTGGTTAGATTTTTGTTGAAAGGACAAAATGGCTCTTAACATTTGGATTGTGGTCCCTGAACTATATGGTAATAAGTTAAACTGTAACTTTAAGTGATTACTGTGGGGCTAATAAAGGATTATCTTATCCTATCCTATTTTATTATTATTGACAGTCTCATACAGAGTCATCCAATGATGGCCAGTTCGAACCATGGCAACATCACAGCAAGGTATGAGTCTGTAATTGGCTCTGCTGCTCTCTGAACCCTCTGATGATTAGTGTGATGCCATCTAATCAGATATCCATGCTCCTCAAATGTGTTCTGTCATAGCAGTGGTTACTAGGTTGGACAAACTTTAGAGAACGCAGGTGAAAATCTCATTCATTCATCTCAATCAATCATTATATCACAATACCTACATTTAGAGTCAGTTATTCATTCAGCCTAACGAGAAACTGTAGAACAGACTCAGTTTATATCACAATACCTACATTTAGAGTCGGTTATCCATTCAACCTAATGAGAAACTGTAGAACAGACTCAGTTTATATCACAATACCTACATTTAGAGTCGGTTATTCATTCAGCCTAATGAGAAACTGTAGAACAGACTCGGTTTATATCACAATACCTACATTTAGAGTCGGTTATTCGTTCAGTCTAACGAGAAACTGTAGAACAGACTCGGTTTATATCACAATACCTACATTTAGAGTCAGTTATTCATTCAGCCTAATGAGAAACTGTGGTACTATAGCACTACTGCATTGAACTGTGCTGTCCTAGCAAATTAAAACTGGACACTAGATTGGAAACATCAATGAATATTTAACCATGGTTACATGAAAGAGCTACAGCCTAACAGCCAAATTAAATATAATTTGAATTTAATAACATGCTTTAGTTTTAGAACTGAGGTACTTAGTGCGCAAAGTGCACCTGCTTCACTCCACAGCCACTCCCACA